GGATAGCCATATTCCCACATTTGTGGTTGGGGGCGAGAACTCAGACACAGTAGATGTGGAAAAGAAGGAACCACAGGGCGGGAGTCAGGGAGAAAGCTAATCTGGGATGGGGATAGGGGGCAGTCTAATGTTACTACCTGGACATAGGTGAAGGATAAAGTTGTAAGAATAAAAATCAGGGTAGACAAGAATTGCAGACAGTTGGCAGAAAGTACAGAATGTTGACAGGAAGCTGAGGTGAAGGAACTGAGATGGAAAGCAGCTAATGCCTGGGGCAGGACTGAGATAGAACATGTAGCCATGGGGGACAAGGCTGGGAGTCTGAGTTACAGTGGGAAAAAGCTGTGGATCTGGAGTCTTAGAATCTGAACTCAGGTTCCAGCTCAGGTCCTTGCCACTGGTTAGAATATAGACACATCCTTCTCATCTTTCAGGCCTCAGTTTCTTCACGTGTAAAATGATGGGCTTGGACTAAATGATCTTGGAGATCTTTTCCAGGTTTAAATTTATGACCCTTTGGATGGGAAACATTCCTTTTTGGGCAAACAGGGGGCTCGAGAGGCCTGAGCAATGTCTGTAGGGAAAGGGGCTTCAGATTTCCACACAAATGGAGCTCTGGAGGAGAGGTTAGCAGGGGGAAAGGCAGGAGAGAGGGCCATTCTTGTTTCCTGTTTTCTGTGCCAGTTGGGCCAGGGAGTTACCATTAGTGTGGGATATAGACATACTCAGCTTGCCCAGGAGCCAGGGCAGTTGAAGTGGAAGGTGGAGGAAGAGACTAGCAGAGGAAAAAGTCAGGTGATGACCTAGGACCCAGTCAGCCTGAGGAATGTGAGGAGGGGTCACAGGCTTCTCCATTATTTTCTGTCCCTAGAAGGTCATGCTGGAACCAGCCCTCCTTTGATCAATGTCCTGGGTAAGCTCCCCAATTCTTGGCTAAAGCTCACTAATCATCCATTTAATGACCATGTGACTGTGAAGAGTAATTTCTGTCACTTCTTTGAAGCTCAGTTAATTTATCTGCAAAACGGGGGTGATAATCCTTGTAGAAGCTTCCTCAGAGAGTTTCTTGTAAACTGCAAAGTACCTTAGAAATGTGAGCCATTGTCATTATTTGACCTGTTCTCCCTTCTTCCTGCTGGCTGCCACTATATCTGTATATCCTGACTCTAGAACCCAACCCCCCTTCCCCTTCTCCACCCTCTCCTACACATTGCCAGTCACTTCTAGGGCTAGTTTAATAATACTGACACTAATATGGCACTACTAGCAATGCAAACTTTACATACATTATCTCACTGGAATCCACAAAACTCCAAATGAGGTAAATACTTCAGGCGTTATTATCCCCATTTTACCAATGAGAACAATGAAGCTCTGAAAGTTTGACTTGCTTAGGGCCACACAGCTAGTATTAGAGGTAAAATCTGAACCCAGATCAATCAGTCAGTCAACAAGCATTATTTATCAAGTGAATATTAGGGAAGAGGCAGTGTGTAAATTGGAATTTTCAAGATGGGTAAGAACCCAACAGTTTTGGAATATGGGGAGGGCAGTGCAGAAAAAGGCGTGAGGTCAGGAAGTTGTGGGGCATAAATAGGGACCAGCACAGAGTCCAGGTTGGTTGGATTGTAGATTGTGTATGGCAAAGAGTAAAATTATATTGATAGGAAAGGCATACAAGATGATGGGAAAGGCTCAAATATCAATGTAAGATGTTTGAACTTTAAGGGAATAGTAGGGAATTAAGGGAAACCTTTGATCAAAAGAGTGACATGTGCCCATCTATTTATGCACAAGGGGGACATGTGAAGGTGTTTGGAGGGAAGAGAGAATGCAGATGGAAAGAGACCTGGCAGGAGGCTGGGACAAGAAACAAGGTAGGTAGCAATGAAAATCATACTAGGACAATGCTTTATATTCAGAGAGGAGGGGACAGATGCTGGAGACATTGTCAAAGTAGCACCCTCATGATTTGGTGACTGATAAGACAAGAGAGATGAGAGCCCCCAGATTCAGAACAAGCTGGAGCAAAGGGTGCTGCCACAAACAGAAGAAAGAAGTAGGAGGAGCAGATTTAGGGCAAAAAGAATGAAGGAAAAAAGCATTTAACATTTATATGCCACTCATCATATTAAGCACAAGTCAAAAGAAAGCTATCCCTATGCCCTCAAGGAGCTTACATTCTAATGAGGGAAAGATGTCCCCTAGACAGCTGAAGAGGTGGGTTTATAGCTCAAAAGAAGACAGGTCAGGGCTGTGGAGAAAGATGAACAAGTCACTCCTTCTTCCCTACATCAGAGGGGGTGGGGTAATGAAGGGGGTGCATCTTTATATTAATACAGGTATAGTTTTCCCCTTCATCTAGAGAAGAATAATCTAAAATTCTCTGAAAGGTATCTATCTCATTGAGTACTCCCCCTCCTCCCTCTCATCCCTTGACTCACAGTATCTCCTCCTCTCTTACTGCCTGGAATCCAACATTGCTAAGAATAACCATACAAACTCCCATTTACCTTATACTTACAAGATAACTTTTCCCACTATAGCCCCATGAGGTGTATAGCACAAGTATCATCATCTCTATTTTATAATTGAAGAACTGGAGGCCCAAAGGAGGAAGTGAATTTTCCAAGCTATGATCATCACAGCTTATGATGGAGACAGCTAGAGCTCAACACCTTTGGAGCTTCTGGCTCCAAATCCAGGGTTGTTTTCAATACCTTACAGTGCCTCTTTTAGAGTGTCATCTCTACCCAGGAGCCCTGTTCCTGCCTTTTCTCCCCATTCCTAGAAATATTTGACTGAAAAGCCCCCCTCTGCTCTCAGTCTTTCCCCTCTTCTGAATGCTTCTTTGTGCTTTGATTCAAACCTTCTCCCTTCCTAACCCCCTTACCTGACCTCTTACTCCCTCAGCCTCTGAAACCTAAGGTGCCACTCAGTTGACATTCTTCAAATCCCTCTGGATGGAGAACATTGTCTACATGCTGTAGATGAAGATGAGGGGATGGCATTGGTAAGTCTGTGGCGCTGTCTAGACACAGGTGTATAAGATCCCCAAAGATTTTTAAACAATGGGCCAAAATTTTGAAAATGAAATTAAATATGAAATCTTATATGTGGTTTCAAAAAAAATCAGTTGCACAAGTACAGCATGCTGAACTTTAAGTCAGGAAGGCCTGAGTTCAAATCTTGCCTCTGACTCTTACTAGCTCAGTGACCACGGGCAAGTAAGTTAACATCTCTAAGCTCAATTTCCTCATCTGTAAAATAATGGAGTTGGACTCTTTGACCTAAAGTCCCTTCCTGCTCCAAATCTATGATTCCATGATTCTATGAAGTAAAAGATGGTGGTAGGGCAACTAGGCAATAGTTGGCATGGAGAAGCAAGGGTTTTAGCATACTCCAAGGTAAGTATAAGGTAAAAATAGAAGCTAAAAACCTGCAATAACTTTGTGGTTTGGGGTTACCTTAAGAAAGACTCATGTCATAAATCATCAGTTTGGAACTAAAAGGGACCATCATTTTGCATATGGGAAAACTTAGGTGCAGAGAAGTGAAGTGATTGGCCTGAATTCACACAGATAAATTTAATGAAGGAGTCGGGATTTGAACCAAGATACTCTGACTCCAAATCCAGCACTCCTCTCCCTGTCCCATGCTTTATCAAAAACTAGGCAAAGTGATTGTCTGGCTCTCTTGGTCGTACTCACATTGAATCTGAAGTATTGTGCTCAGAGTCGGGCACCACATTTTAGGAAGGACAATGACTCTTTGGAGAATGTCCATGGGAAGCTATCCAAGACGGAGAGGGGACTATAAACATTGCTACACAAAAATCACTTGATGAATCTGAAGTTGTTTGGTCCAGAGAGGAGAAGACTCAGGGGAAATATAGTAACTGTCTTCAAGGATCTGGATGACTGTCATGCAAAAGAATGGTTAGATTTCTTCTGCTTGGTCCCAGAAGGCAGAATCAGGAGATACAGGAGGAATTTAGAGTATATTTTTAGAAGAGATGCTGATCTGCCTTGGGAGAGAGGAGTTTCCTCACCACGAGATCCTTATACCAATGAAATGAAAGATCTGATACCAGCCCTCCTCAAAAGTGCAAGTTGGGGTACAGGGATGGCCAATCACCAAGGAATAAAGGGAGGAGATGGGTAGAGCCCCTATGAATACCAGCTGATACAACTGGGTGATGAATCCAGTCCCAATATCATTTTCATTTTTTACCCACTTTTCCCATCCACTATATTTAATCCCCATTTTCAGTCATTTCCTTTCCTTAGATTTCTCCAGTCCTGCACTCTCCTCATTCACTCCATTTGGTTCTCACCACAGGGGAGAGCTATAGTGGTTGGAACTCCAGCTGCCATATGGTGAGGCAAGAGGGACAGTTATCTCCAAGACCATCAGGATGGTACTAGGTATGTGTCCATGGGTCTAACTAAAGTGAGAAACATAAGGTGCTAGGGAAATTAGGGTTGGGGGGGGGGTTGAAAAGGGTGAAGTAGAAGATTGCCTAGGATAAGAACAATATTTGGTAAGACAAACACTGGGTGGGGTGATGTATCTACTTTGCAAGATCTTGGTCTTTGATTCCCATTTGTTTTTGTACACAGTAAGGCAAAGAGACCTTTCATTCTGAATATAAACTGGTAACTTTTCTCCCCTTATTCTCATCCCTCCTCTCAAGATTAGCCTCTGTGCTGGGAGCAGAACTGCCAGGTTCACATCCATCCTTGTCATCTTTTCCATATTTCACATATTTACAATGAGAGCTCTCCTTAATTGGAATGCTCTGCCTGAAGCGGTAATGAGCTCTCTGTCACTGGAAGTCTTCAAATGGAGGCTGGATAACCATTTTGGGAGGATGTGCTTGAATGGATTGATGCTCTCTGCAGTGGCTGGACTAGATAACTTCTGAAATCTCTTCCAACTCTCAGAGTTCATGATTCAATAACAACTTTGTTTTTCTCATATCCAACTCTGGCATAGCTTCCATGCTGGGGCCAAATCATACCATAGTGTCTGAGTTCATCCTCATTGGCTTCTCCAGATTCCCCCATCTTCAGTCGATATTTTTTGTGATATTTCTGTTAATGTATTCATTCACACTGCTGGGCAACCTTCTCATCATGTTGACCATCCGGAGTGAGAGGAGCCTCCACACACCCATGTACTTCTTCCTATGTACACTCTCTATCTCAGAAATCTTCTACACTTTTGCCATTATCCCTCGCATGCTCACTGACTTGGTCTCCAATCATCACACCATCTCCTTCCTTGGCTGTGCCAACCAGATGTTCTTCTCCTTCACATTTGGCTTCACCCACTCTTTCCTGCTTATGGTCATGGGCTATGACCGCTATGTGGCCATTTGCCACCCTTTGCGCTATAATGTGCTCATGAACTCACAGGGCTGTGCCTGGTTGGTGGCCTCCTCATGGGTTGGTGGCATGGTAATGGGGCTGGTGGTAACACTTGCCATTTTCCACCTGACTTTCTGTGGGCCCAATAAGATCCACCATTTCTTCTGTCATGTACCCCCTTTGGTAAAGCTAGCCTGTGGAGACATCTCAATAGTGGCCATGGGAGTGGGGATGGTCTGCATTACAGCCCTACTGGGATGTTTCCTCCTCATCCTCCTCTCCTATGCCTTTATTGTGGCCGCCATCTTGAGAATTCCTTCAGCTGAGGGTCGTCGCAAAGCCTTCTCTACCTGTGCCTCCCATCTCACTGTGGTAGTTGTGCACTATGGCTTTGCCTCTGTCATTTATCTTAAACCCAAGGCCCCAGAATCCCTGGAAGGGGACACCCTGATGGGCATCACCTACACCGCTCTAACTCCCTTTCTGAGCCCCATCATCTTCAGCCTGAGGAACAAGGAGCTGAAGAATGCCCTGAAGAAAGTCTTCTTCAGTAGCCAGTGTCCCTTGAGACTCCGATAGAGAGATTACTAGGTTATTAGGAACTAGCATTATCTCATTTTCTTTTCAAATTTTATGCAATGGAATGGTCCTTACATGAATGAATGAACAATTGAATGAATGGACTTATTCTCTCAACCCACATGAGTAATAATAATAATGGTCTTTATATTGTGAATTAACTTTGAAAAAACACTTTAACTGTTATATCATTTGATCCTCACAACCACCTCTCTTCAAGGAAGGCACTATTATTGTCCTCACTTTACAGATGAGGAAACAGGACAAGTGGTTGCCCCTGGTCACATAGCTAGTAGGTGTCTAAGATTTTGAACCCAAGACTTCCTGATTCTAAGTCCAACACTCTATCTACTATGCCACCTAAGTTTCTGAATCAAGGCTACATTTTCCCTCATGGTTTTATGGTGCCCCTGAGAGGTTGGGATAGCTTTTGAATTTCATCAACTCAAACCCACATTTAGGTTTGTTATACATAAAATTAATTACCAGTTAACAGTATTTCCCAGAGCTCTCATATCATTTAGCCACTTAAAATTAATTAACTTTTTTAAAAGGATATTATAAACCGTCACCAAAATTGAGGCCTTGGAGCTATGTCCTTGAAGTCAGGAGGACCTGAATTCAAATCCAGCCTCAGACACTTGAAACTTACTAGCTGTGTGACCCTGGGCAAGTCACTTAACCCCATTGCCTGGCAAAAAGAAAAAAAAATTGGGGGCATACTCTCCCTTATGCCACCTCTGTTCCTGGAAATATTGGGATCGGACTTAAAGGGATTGCTACAAAGCATTTGTCCCTCCAAGTTCATTTCTAGGTTTGGCATAGCCAATGGACGGATGCCTTCCCTTGAGTAGAGGACACAGCATCAATTTACTGCTGGGCTGCTTCCCAATAGATCCTCAAAGATGTGCTAGTAGATCACAGTCAACTGGCTACACACTCTGGCACAGACTCTGCTAGGCTACCATTTTGACCTTTCAAAACCCACAAGGTCATGGCTGTCTCCAATATAACTTTACTTAAAAACAAGAAATAATAAGCATAATAAGGCGAAGAACAGAGGCCCACATTCATAGGCATTATGCTGGCTCTGGGTGAGAAGGGCCAAGGCCTCTGTATATCCAGAGGCTTACACTGTCTCTCTCATTCCAACACAGCCAGGCAGAAAAAAAGAAAATATCTTGGCCATTCAGTGCCTTTTGTGTGTGTGTGTGTGTGTGTGAATTTTTTTTTCACCAGATAGAGAATAGTTACAGTTTAATCTGTAGTAGAAAGAAAACAAAACTCGGACAAGGTAAAATCCTTATGAATTAAGGCCAAAGAACTCTAATCCTCTAAAGTGTTTACTCAGCAGCCCTATTCCATATGCCTCTATGCAGGTGGCCTTTTGAATGGTGCCCGGTTCTACGTTAGGGACCCCCAAGACTACAAAAATTCAACAGGACCACCAACTCCCTCCAATTCCCTGAAGGTAGCAGTTGCTGATTCAGCTTAACTAGAAAGAAGTAAAGGAGAACGAAGTAGGAAATCAAGATGAGGTACTACCATGGATGACCTTACCATCAGGCAACCTTACAGCTTGACTCAGGAGTGTGCCCACCAGCAAAAGGAAAGGAACCAGAAATGAATGACAGCTACCAAAGATTTTGAGAGAAAGGGCTTCAATAAGAGCTCAGTAATCTAGGAAACAATAGAAATTATTCCAAAGTCAGAATGGAGGATGAATAATAAGTCCTTAATCCTAATTAATGTCAAATGAGAAAGGAAAGTGAACTAATGAAATAGGGAATATTGTAGACTTCCGAGATAACGTGTAACAACAAGAAACTATGAAATAGTTCAAAAGAGAAATTAAACCTATAAAAGAAGAAATGAGCAATGAAATGCAGAATTTTGAAAGTTATTTTGCAGAGTAAAAAATATTGAATCCACAGTATAAAGTTTCTCTAAAGAAGGAGAGAGAGAGAGAGAGAGAGAGAGAGAGAGAGAGAGATCAATAGATTTTGAACTGAAGTGGAGAAAAAAACAAACAAACAAACCAAAACAAATAAACAGAAAAAGCAAAAGAAAAGCAAAAGACAATAACCTTAGAAGAACACAGAAATGCTCTGCAAGCCAAAGAGATGGGTCTTGAAGACAGGATGTCTGGTTGTCCCCTATGCCTGAATGCTCTCCCTCCTCAACTCCTCTCCTTGTCTTTCCTGGCTTCCTTCAAGTCTCATTCAAAATTTCACATTCTTAAAGAGGCCTCTCCCAGTGCTCCTTAATCCTTGTCCTTTCCCTTTGAGGTTATCTCAACATTGTAATATACACATATATGTATATATGTACACACACACCAAAAAAAAATCCTTAGAAATTAAAATCCCAAATACCACATGGTTATATCAATAGATACAGAAAAAGCTTTTTGTTTTCAACATTTACTTCCACAAGATTTCGAGTTCCAAATTTTCACCCCATCTCGCCCATCCCCCCACCCCAAGATGGAATGCATTCTAAATACCCCTTCCCCTAGTCTGCCTTCCCTTCTATCTCTCCCCCCTTTCTTTTATGCCCTTCCCCTTCAATTTTCCTGTAGGGCAAGATGGATTTCTGTACCCCATTTCCTGTATTTCTTATTTCCCAGTTGCACGTGAATACATTTTTTTTAAACTTGTGTTTTTGGGGCAGCTAGGTGGCACAGTGGACTGAGCTCCGGCCCTGGAGTCAGGAGGACGCGAGCTCAAATCCAGCCTCAGACACATGACACTAGCTGTGTGACCCTGGGCAAGTCACTCAAACCCAATTGCCTCACCAAAAACAAAACAAGCAAACAAAAAAATAAACATGTGTTTTTAAAACTTTGGGTTCCAAATTTTCTCCCTTCCTCCCTCCCCACCCACCCTCACTGATAAGGCAAGCAACTCAATATAGGTTATATATGTGCAGTTACGCAAAACACTTCCACAGTAGATATGCTGCGAAAAACTAACTCTACTTCCCTTAATCCTATCCCACCCACCCATTTATTCTATTCTTTCTTTTGACCCTGTCCCTCCTCAGAAGTATTTGCTTCTGATTACTCCCTTTCCCAATCTGCCTTCCTCTCTATCATTCCCCTACTCTCTTGTCCCCTTCCCCCCTATTTTCCTGTAGGGTAAAACAGATTTCCACACCCAATTGAGTGTGTATGTTATTCCCTCAAGTCAAATCCTATGAGAATAAGATTCACTCATTCTCTATCACCTTCCCCCATTTCCCCTCCACTGTAAGAGCCTTTTCTTTTCTGCTTTTTTTTGGTGGGATAGTTTACCCTGTTCTACCTCTCCCTTTCTCCTTCTCCTAGTATATTCCTCTCTCACCCCTTAATTTTATTCTCCAGATATGACCCCTTCATTTTCAACTCACCCTGTGCCCTCTATCTATCTATCTATATCTATTTATACGTACATATAATTTTTTCCCTCCAACTACCCTAATACTGACAAAGGTCTCATGAATTACAAATATCATCTTTCCATGCAGGAATGTAAACAGTTCAACCTTAATAAGTCTCTTATGATTTTCTCTTTCCTGTTTACCTCTTCATGTTCCACTCAAATCTTGTATTTGAAAATCAAATTTTCTATTCAACTCTGGTCTTTTCATCAAGAATGCTTGAAAGTCCTCTATTTCACTGAATGACCATTTTTTCCCTGAAGAATTATACTCAGTTTTGCTGGGTAGGTGATTTTTGGTTGTAATCCTATCTCCTTTGCTCTCTGGAATATTATATTCCTTGCCCTGCAGCCCCTTAATGTAGAAGCTGCTAAATCTTGTGTTATCCTGATTGTGTTTCCACAATACTTGAATTGTTTCTTTCTGGCTGCTTGTAATATTTTCTCCTTGACCTGGGAACTCTGGAATTTGGCTACAATATTCCTAGGAGTTTTCCTTTGGGGATCTCTTTCAGGCGGTGATTGGTGGATTCTTTCAATTTCTATTTTGCCCTCAGGTTCCAAAATATCAGGGCAGTTTTCCTTGATCATTTCTTGAAAGATGATGTCTAGGCTCTTTTTTTGATCATGGCTGTCAGATAGTCCAATAATTTTTAAATTCCTTCTCCTGGATCTATTTTCCAGGTCAGTTGTTTTTCCAATGAGATATTTCACATTGCTTTCTAATTTTTCATTCTTTTGGATTTGTTTTCCAGTGTCTTGATTTCTCATAAAATCACTAGCTTCCAATTGCTCTATTCTAATTTTTAAGGAAGTATTTTCTTCAGTAATCTTTTGGAGTTCCTTTTCCATTTGTCCAATTTTGCTCTTTAGGGCATTCTTCTGTTCATTGGCTTTTTAGACCTCTTTTGCCATTTGGGTTAGGCTATTTTTTAAGGTGTTATTTTCTTCAGTATTTTTTGGGTCTCTTTTAGCAAGCTGTTGACTTGTTTTTCATGATTTTCTTGCAAAACTCTCAGTTTTTCCTCTGCTTCTCTTACTTGCTTCTCAAAATCCCAAGACCTGGGACTGATTCATATTTTTCTTGGAAGTTTTGGATGTAGGAGCTTTGACTTCGTTGTCTTTTTCTGGTTGTATGTTTTGATCTTCTTTGCCACCAAAGTAAGATAATATAGTCTGACTCTTTTTGCGCTGCTTACTCATGATCCCGGCCAATTACTTGAGTTTAAAGCTCTTTGTTAAGGTAAAAGTCTGTTTCCAATGTGGAGAATGTACTGTCCTAAGCTTCAGGGGTTTGTACAACTGTTTTCAGAGATACTTCTAGGGACCTGAAAATTTTCAGTTCTTCCAAGGTGCTATGATAAGGGGCGAGGAGTTTTCTCTCCACTGCCACAACAAGCTCCACCGCACCAGTGCTCCTCCTCGCCCCTCAGAACTGTGACCCAGATCCAAGTACTGGTAAAGCAAGAGATTCCTGCCTCAGCTCTGGCAAAGAGATCCCTACAATCCCCCTCTGATCAGCAACTTGATTCCCCCTCAATCTGTGGGCCAGAAGCTCAGGAAACAGCCCTGGGGGCAGCT